CAGACAGAGGGTTCCTGGTCCTTGGAAGAAACCTTCAGTGGAAAGGGCAGATCAGAACAGCCCCATCTGCCCCCACTCCCAACTTAGCCCCACCCAGCCAGCCACCTTCTTCCCCAGCCCCACCCAGGCACCGACACCCCTGCTGCCTCCACACGTTCATCCTCCCCCCCCCCATGCCCTCCTCCACTGGACTCTTGGTCAAGAGCCCCTCGGTGACCCTGAGCGACTATGGGTGGGGTGGTGGCAGGGTGTATAAATGGGGGTGTCCACCCTCCCAGCAATGTCGGGGCTCCCTCCTGAGAAGCCTGCCTCATGGGGAACAGGTGCCACTCTGCAGAAGACCAGCCCAGAGGCTGCCCTGCCCTCCAGCCACTGATACAGGGGGCCTGGAGGGCCCCAGCTCTGGGAGGGCCACGGGTGAGTCATAAGCGCGTCCTCCCCAGGGAGCATATTTGAGGCATTAGCTGTGAACAGTTTCCAGGGTTTGAGGTAACAAGCAGGGCCCCTGCAGGGAGGGGTGAGGGTGAGCCTTAGGCCCATAGGAAGTTATTTCTGGAGAGTGTCCTGGGCCCCGGCCAGTTTGCTCTGGCACTGGGCGCTCTACTTGGCAGGTGGGGGTGGCTTGGCTGTCGATGGGCACACAGGGCCCAGCTCCCCGCCGCGGAGGGGCCCCGGAGGCTGGGTACACAGGGCCAGGCCGCCAGCTCGGCCTCCCCGAGCCACCTGCCAGGAAGGCCACTGAGACCGGCGGGTTAGGGCGCCCTGGCACCCCGTCACAGGCAGGCATTTAAAGTATGTTTGTTTAACTTTCTTTAATTGTTCGCTGGAGTGGTGGAGACGTGGAGACGGCGCCAGTGGGGCTGGCCCCTGCTCTGTGCCGGGACACACCCTGCCCGTGCCACTCTGGGCCTCAACGTCCCCAGAGAGGAGCACTCTAGCGCTCTGGAATCCCTAGGATCTCCATGCTCCCAGCCCACTTCCCAGCACACACAAGCAAGTCCCTGGCACAGTTCCTGCTGACTGGCGCAGGATGCCGAATCCTGCGTTAGCAAATCTTTGGCAACACATGTAACTGGAGCTGGGAGTGCTCCTGGCAAACCAGTGTGTGTGTGTGTGCACGTGTGTATTGCAGGGGGTGTAGGTGTGTGTAGGTGTGCCTATGTGTGCATGTATAGCTGTGTGTATAAGTGTATGTACATAAGTGCGCACACACACAAGTGTGTGTGTGTGTGCTCGCGTGTGTCGGAGAGTGACCGCTCCTGGCTCCCTGCCTGACCTCGCTCTGGCAGCAGCCCAAGCAGACTTCACTCAGGTCCCTGGCTCCAGCTCCTATTATAGGTGGGAATCAAATTTGCCTTGAGGGCCGAAGATAGGCAGCAGCAAGCTAGCTGCAGGCTGGCGCTCTGGAATCCCCCCGGGGTCCCCAGGGTGCTCCGAGCCCATCCCGTGGTTAGCACTGACTGGTGGGACCTGGGCCCCGGTGCTGACTTTGCAGTTAGCGTCGCCGAGTCACTCTTCCTGGGTCACTTGTGGCAGAAGATGGGATTTCTCGAACCCACCTTGCCCTACAGGGAGGGTGAGCCGGCAAGGTGAAGCCAAGCAGGGCCTGGCCTGGGCCTCCCCGCCGCTCCCCAGCACATGACAGCGCAGCGACCCCACGGGGAGGGGACTCTGATGGTTGGATGTCCTCATGGTTGTGTGCCAGCCGTGGGGCTCAGACACAGGACAGAATAATTGAATTTCGTCCTTTTCTGTATCAGGATGACAGAACAGGCGAGCCTTCTCAGAGCTTCTGCCAAGACTTGTATTGAAAAGTAACTTGAGTCCCTTCCTGGACAGGGGTAGCCTCAAATAAGCATCCTTGATGTGGAAACTCAAACCACTGAAGGACTGAGGCACACAGAACATCATGGGAGCTGGGAGCCCCACCCGCAGGCCAGCACAGCGACCGAGACTGAGGAACCCCCCAGGGAGGCTCAGAAACACTCACAAGGTAAGGGGGACACACTGACGAGTGAAGTCGACTTACCATTGTCTCTTAGGCTGGCTAACAGGCAGAAATACCCTGACCATCATCCTCTTTGTCAGTTGAGGTTCAGAGTAGCTGAGTCATGTACTCAAGGTCACACAGCTTGTCAGCTGAAGGGTGGAGTCAGAACCCAGGCTTCCCATCCCCTAAGGTCATCTGCTTCTAGCACCTGGCACCCCATACTAGGTCCTGCAGGCTGTGGTCCCTTTATGTGTTCCAAACAAGTGTGTGGGGGGGGGGTTCCCCTGGAGTGAACAAAACTGACCTCACCACGGGGTGTGGGGGGGCAGTGGGGGAGGGGGACTGCTCTGGAGGTGCTGAGGAGACCCAGAGGGGAGGAACAGCTGCCACCCGGGAAGGCTCCCAGGCACCCAGGCAGCTCTGTGTGGGAGCTGCCTGACTCGGGATGTGCCCCAGCCCAGCAGCTGTTCTGTTTCCACCCAGGCCAGGAAAAGCAGAGGGAGCTTAAGGCAGAGATAAGGAAGAGGTTTAAC